GTGTTCAAAGATTTTTACTCAAGATTTAGATGATCTGTGCCAGCACATCTGAAAAACAGTTTAACTACAAATATCAGACCCTACCTAGAAGATAAGTACACTAAAATGATGCATTATAAATATATTAATGAATCAGCTAGCAGATTGCTACTGATTAAAAATAGGATCATGAAAAAAAATGGGGAGCTGGTAACAAGAATTCACAAGAAAATATGTGATGTTTATATTCATTTTATTTTATGTATCTTAATTATTTTATTTTATTTACCTTATGACTGGTTTAAAATTTCAAAATTGCCTCCAGCATATATGTGGAAAGGGAAAACAAAATGTATAAACTTTAAAGAAACACCAACAATATGTTTGAGATGACCTAAATAAATACTCCTTTGTGTAACACATACTTAAAATTGTAGAATGAATGAGAGACAACAGCTTTGATTGTTGGGTTGAGATTTATAAACAGCAGTGCAAAAATCCCTAACCTGGACTTTCACTTTCTAGGTCTAGGACAGTGGTTCTCAACCTGTGGGTCGGGACCCCATTTGGGGTTGAATGACCATTTCACGGGGGTCGCCAAACCATGCTGTCCGCCATTTTTTTCCCTTTTCCCTAGCTGTCCTACTCCCTCTTATTGGTGGCCACACCCACTTGGGGGTCACCACAACATGGAGAACTGTATTATGGGGTCCCGGCATTAGAAAGGTTGAGAATCACTGGTCTAGGAGATGGTTTAGATCAGGGGTCCTCAACCTTGGCGACTTTAAGACGTGTGGACTTCAACTCCCAGAATTCCTCAGCCAGCAAAGCTTTGCTGGCTGAGGAATTCTGGGAGTTGAAGTCCACACATCTTAAAGTCGCCACGGTTGAGGACCCCTGGTTTAGATTTTTAAAAGTGGGAGGCTTGAATCCTACTCTAGACAATATGAATTATGCCTGCTGAAGCAAGTGTGTTGGCTGCCAGACCAGGTTTAGCGTTCTGCTTACGATATAGATCTTGAACAACTCTGAACAAGGATAGTTTATCTGTACCTCGGTTGTGATAGATCTGGACAATCACAGGTATCATCAAGGAAGGGTCTTATGGGTGTGCTGAGCACTAATGCCATTGGGCTGTTTTTCTTATGAACATCTCCTTAGCTCCAGAATGTGATTTCCTCTGAAATATAAGAGATACCCAATATTATATCTTTTAAGCATCTGTGAAAATTATTTCTTAGCCTGAGACTGATTAGCAATAGCTTTCTATGATTTGGCCCTGGGTGTCCTATCAGTTCTTCTTTAGGAATCTATGAAATATTCCTGATATAATAGAAAATAGCCATCATATCTAAGGCATCTTTAGATTTTTATAGCTCTTGAGTCTTGACTATATATATTTTTTTGCCTGGCCATATTATTTTAATAGGGAGGCTTTTGTAATATTTTCTGTCCCAAAGAGTGGCAAAATTAGGGCTAAATCTCAGAATAATAGAATAACAGAGTTGGAAGGGACCATGGAAGTCTTCTAGTCCAGGGGACCCCAATCCTTAGGTCATGGCCCACTACCGGGCTGCAGCCTGTTTAAAACCAGATTGCAGGAGAGATGGGCAAGCACGTGCATGTGAAGCTCCATTTATGCATATAGAGGGCACTTGTGCGCCTGTGTGAAGCTCTATTCATGCAAATGGAGCTTCGCGCATGAGCGCCCTCCTCTCACACAAATGGAGTTTCGTGCACAAGCACAAGTGTCCTCTACTCAAGCACCGTCCATTCATGCAAGTGGGGCTTTGCATGCAAGCACCCTCTATTCGTACTCAGAGCTCCGTTCATGTGACTGGAGGGCTCAGATGCGTGCTGTTTGCACGAATGGAGCTGTGCACCTGTGCACCTGCCACTTACACATTCTCCCTCCCAGCGCCGGGCCAGGCCTTCAAGTTGGTAATGTTGGGGACCGCTGTTCTAGTCCAGCCCCCCCCCCCTGCTCAGGCATTATACCATTTCAGACAAATCTCATGGCCCATAACCCAAGGTTTTTACCTAGAAAATAAGAAGTGACAAGAATGTGTGTTGCGTGCATGGCTGTGTTGAGCCCAGTGGATTTACAGTAATCCTTTTCACCAGAACATCTCTTTGTTCCTGTTTTAATAACTAATTGTTGAGGATAACTAACCAACCATAATGTATTTTTAAACATCTCATTTTATATAAGTGCCTAGCCCTAAGTAAATGCATTTAATCTCAAACCAGCAGAAACAATTCTATGTTTTTTTCAACAGTCATATGATGCCATTATTGAAGTGAAATTAAAATGCAAAATTGCCTATTCAAAATGACTTTTTTTCCCTTTTGTTCTACATTCTTCTATCAAGAACTGCTGAAATAGCAAAAAGTGCTAGTTGTATGCCATAGAGATAGCACCTAAGAGGGAGTCCCAAGCATGCTGTACAGTCCAAGGTCTAAAACAATGTTCTGTAGTTGTTCCATTGGCTCAGGAAAGAATGCCTTGCTTATGGTCTGGGAGTCAGCCTGTCACTGGAAGTTCAAACAAGTGAGCAGAAAAGAAGAAAGTGACAGATTTATCTAATGCTACTGCATTTGATCTTGAAAAGATTAAAGCTGCTGTTCTATTCACACTTACTTCAAAATAGATTTCACTGAGCTGGGCTGACTTTTCTGCAAACTTGTGCAATAAGATAGCACTATACAGTATGATGACAAAGACAGTCCCTTATTTCCTTCATGCTTTTGCATCAATCATCTTGGGGCTTATGAATACAGGTAAACATGACTTGAAAAGACAATTATATCACTCTTATGGGTTAATCGCTTGAAACACTTTTACCAGAGGGAGTTATTTTTTACAAAAAAGAAAGAAAGAAAGAAAGAAAGAAAGAAAGAAGGAAGGAAGGAAGGAAGGAAGGAAGGAAGGAAGGAAGGAAGGAAGGAAGGAAGGAAGGAAGGAAGGAAAGAAGGAAGGAAGGAAGGAAGGAAGGAAGGAAGGAAGGAAGGAAGGAAGGAAGGAAGGAAGGAGAAGCTCCATCCTTTTGATGGCAATTAAGAATAAAGACCAAAGGAAGCCAAATAATGGTGAATTCTGTAGAAACATGCAGTAAATGGTATTAATTAAAATCCAGCTGCATGGAGTGGGTGATTAAAATATCTCAGCTATCTTTTTAGAGAAAATTGTAAAAGTACAATTCGAAGGAATACTTTTCAAAAGCTCAATAAAAAACATAAACCAATTGCAATTTTTTCCATAATTTCATTCTCCTTCTACTGGCTTTCCATATTTCCCTTATGAGATTTATTTCTCCAGATTCTCCATATGAGCAGGTGTGGATGTGTTTATTACCTCCATTTTGGATAAAATTTTGTTGGAGGTCCTCAGCTGAATTTTTTTATTAATGGGAAAGAAGGCCACAAAGAAGTTTGTGATCTGCATGATTTTGTTGAATGGTATTGCTAAGCATTGGCTGTACAGGTGAAATTACTAGGAGTTGAAGTTCACTTTTGCTTCAATATCACAGAGGTAACAGATCAGAAATAAAACTTTAAGTTCAATGATTTGTAAAAGATGGGAACCATTCTTGCTCATAATTTCTTACAATTATACCTAACAAAAATAATTCTGGCTTAAAATCTACATGTTTTTTTTTTATCATTTTCTCTCTCGTGACCAAAATCTTTTGGCTTTAGGGCATGTCCACCAAAGATGATAGTATGTGCCTGGTTTTTGTCTATATTTCCAACAATTGCTAACATATTTTTGAATGTTTTTGCTAACCTCATAGGTGTTAAGTGCCATCTGTAAAACATTTTATATAGGTTTTCTTTGTAAGCCACCGCCTTTGTTATTTTAGAGTTTTTTTCCCCAAAGGCTTTGCCAGTTTTCTAATTCTGTTATGATGAAAGTTTTTTGCCCATATTATCATTGTTTCTTTAACTTTAACTTAACATTCTTCCTCTTCCATCTTTAAACATATACTTATGCAGTTTCTTAATCAATTTTTCATCTGATGTCAATAGTAACTGGTCAAATTCTGTCTGTTCTTTATAAAATCCAGATGCTTTAGCATCTTTTTCATATTTTGCTTGAATGTGCAGGTGTGGCCACCATGGTAAATCAATGTCTTGTTCTTCTAGTTCTTGTCTAGATTTTACTTTCCCTTCAATATTCAAAATGTCTTTATAAGTCACGATTTTCTCTTAATTAATTAGGATGGTGAACAAACATTTCCATTGTTGAAAGCCATCCAGATATTTTCATGTAAATTTTCACTTTTACCTTTTCCCATTCTAGAAGAAGTGTGTTTCTTATATAGTGGTTTTGAAAGTATCTACCGTAAATGCCGGCGTATAAGACAACTTCCGCGAGCGCTGAAATTGGCGCCAAAGATGGGGGTCGTCTTATACGCTGAGTTGTCTTATACGCCGGAAATACTGGTAGTTTCCGGCATATAAGACGATGTTCTAGGAATGCGGCCCGGCTATAAAGACGGGGATCGTCTTATATGCCGGGTCACCTAATACGGCGGCATATACGGTATGTATTTTATTCTTCCCATACCATAGGAAGGCACGCCATCCAACTTGTAGGTCATGCAAGATCGGAACAATTCTTTTCATTCACTGGATTTTTTTTTCATGAACACTTCATTTACAGAAAATAAAATTAATGCATGATACCAATATTAGGAAGATGCATAGAACAGCTACAAGTCATTTAAAAATATAATCAAATTCACCACTGTGAAGAAGCCTCAGGAGTGCAACGAATATGCAGCACCAACAAAATTTCTCATGTAAGTCATTTGTACTTCTGACAAAAAAAGATATATAAATCAGTAACAAAAATAACTCTTCCCTCAGTTTTATTCCCCCCCCCCAGTGTTCTAATCCTTGCTTCTTTATTTTATAGTGCAAAACATGATGTCTTTTAACAGTAGCTCTACATAGTTTCTGATAAGATTCAGTTGTACCACTGCAAGATGTTGGCAATGACAGAAAGGGCATTGAGATATAGTGAAACATGTTGCTTTTATTTCTGTGAAATAAAAAGTTAATCGGCTTAGCCTGAAAATTTGCACCGAAAAATAAAACGGATCAAACATGCTATGTGAAATACATTCTGTGCAATATCAGGAATTTTTATATAACAAAGTTATGAGAAAAACTAATAACAATTACATTAAAAAGTAATATTTGCACAGCTTTAAATTAATGCATTATACAATCATTTCATTAGTGTTATATAATTGACAATTTGGTATACACTATAAGTATAACTTATAATTAGCATTATAAATATAACATGAAGTTTCTTTCAAACATGAATTCTAATTTTCTGGTGACTTAAAGTAATGATTTTTAAATATGAAATATGATAAAAAGAGATTTCTATATCAATCCATCCCTTTGGTATTCCCATTTAGGTTCAAACAAATGATCAAGTATTTTATCTTTGGTTACATTTAGTAACACTGTAAATCAGTTTTCCACATGTGATTTGCCCCAGACAAGTTGAATTATCCCTCTCTTCACTCCTAACCCATTTGGATTGTGCTGGAGATTTATTTATTTATTTACCCAATTTATTGGCTGCCCATCTTACTACAAGTTACTCTAGGGGGCTTAACAATATTAAATGAGATGGTAGGAGTTCTCAAAGACACTTGGAGAGCTCCAAAATAGGGAATGCTGCTCTAAACAATGGCCCACTTCACAGTCAGGCATTGCTCCTAAGGCTGCTGTTCAGTGACAGAAAAGCCAAATTAATGGTCAACCTAAACAATAGTTTGGATCCTACAGAATGTCTTTAAATGCTTAATATTTTCAAGAGTTCCTCACCATAAAAAGCCTACCTTGGTTTGGGATTACGTTTTTGCAACATAATGAAATAAAATAATTTTAGCAAATGTTCTAGTATGTATTTCTGTTTCATGCTTATCATATTGTTTAACACATACTGTTTATAATGCCAAGTACAATAGCCATCACGCCTTGCATGTCCTCAAATATATAGTTCCAGGATAGATTTGAACTACAATTCAGGGTCCTAACAAGACCAGCCTTGCATAATCTGAATCCTAATATATTTGCAGGGCACTAACTTGGAGAATGCTGGCTTTATACATTTCCTTTTAAAAAAAACAAAATGGACTTCCACCAGCATATCTAAAAAAAAATTGCACTATATTTGGGGCTATTTTAAAAATCCCATATTTTTATAATTACCCTTATGATTCTGCCAACACTAATTTATTCAAAGCCCTATTGAATTATGCAAGTGTTGTCCAGGATTTGCTAAGGCCTCTAACTCCATATGTACGTGGAGTAACAAACACATACTGATTACTGACTCATGTATAAGCAAGCCCGCTATCTGCTGAAATGGGCTTCCTATTACATTGTTTCCCATCTGTCTCTAATGTCTTGTGACATCTAGATGTTGCAATGGATTGAAGTTAACTACTGTAATTATACTTAACATCACATATTGCTCAGTTGCTTGTATTTTATGCAGACAACAGCAATTATGGAATCATGCAGTATATACTTGTTTTAAAAAACTGAGTATAAAACATTGAATATTGTTGTAATAAAGCAGTTACAATGCATAGGCATTCATCAAAGTCATATCATAAAACTGAATTATATAAGCATGCAGCAATTGCCTTGTGTTCAGCCTTTGGAAATTAAAGCGCATTGCTCTAATATAAGGTAGACATAGTTTGTAGCAACTTGTTTTTTGCAAATTACATTTCCCACAGGTGCACTAGAAAACACAAGACCATAGCAGGTCTAAGCAATGCAAGGAACTCTTGTTTGGGAAATTGGTAAGGCTTATCTCAAGTAACTAAAGTATTGAAGTAGAACTGTCCTTTTCCTCTGATAAACAGTTCACATAAAAGGAATGTGAATCTAGGGATAAAGTATTTGGGTAAATTATTTATTTTCCATATTTTTCCCTCTGTGTGAGAATTCCTGTAACACTCTAGACCAGAGGTGTAAAACTCGCAATGTCACATGACGTGTCGCAATGTATCACAACTTTTTTTCTATTGCCGGCAATGGGGTGGGCGCAGTTTCTCCATGACGCATCCAGCCCGCAGGCTGGCAGTTTGACACTCCTGATGGCTCATGATCCTTCAACCTTGGTTACAAATAGCCATGTGATTTTTAAAAAATTTAGACTTCTCTACTCTTTGACAACAGAAGGTATCACACAAACATATGGCTCTATTCCTGCCACTTCTAAATTCTGTTTCTATTGTTTTCAAATAGTGATTCTGACCACTGCAAAAAGTGGATTTATTTGCCTCTAAAAAGATGGCATGAGGATTTCCTAAGTCTCCTGGGTTATAAAGTTCAAAGGCCTAAGCAAGGGGTCCCCAGGCATTATTTTCTAATTTAGCACCCCTTGAAAGCATGTTGATAGTGGAATCCATTATTTATTGGATAATAAAATGCAACATCCATATCAACCTGTTCTTTAAATCCCATGTTAATGTGATAATTATTCAACTATGAAAGGTATCTCTTGCTGAGGTAGGATTAATATTAAAAATTATAACAGTAAATAAATAAGCAAAAATGATCTAGATCAGGCATGTCAAACTCACAATGTCACGTGACGTCACACAAAATATCGGGACAGTTTGGTTATTGCTGGCAATGGGGTGGGTGTGGCTTCTGGATGACGCGTCCAGCCCGCAGGCCAGCAGTTTGACACTCCTGATCTAGATCATATCTGAAACCTCACAAACAATAATCTGCTTTACCAAAGCCATGTTGAGCTCCATCTGTCCCAACACCAGGACCCTTAGTTTGTTTTCTTGATGGAGATTCAGGAAGTCTTTCTGTATGAAACCAGTGACTGTTAATTGTGATTCGCAAGGCACTCTAATAACTCCACAACAGCTAAACACAGCAAATTTATCATCATTGTAGTTTAGTCATTGTTTTTTCTGAAGTTTTAGACAAACAATTTGCTTTGGTTTAACTCTGTCTTTGGATTTTTTAAAAAAGAATTTTGCATGAATTCAAAAATCAGAGTTTCAATGTGGTTGGCTAGTTTTTGGAGTGTTTGGCTGGGGGGGGTGTCAATGTATATCCATCCACGTACCCTCTGCATTATGAATTCTCTCAAACATAAGTATGCATTTATCCTCTTGTGCACTGTTGACTGCACAGAAGTGTTTAAAAAGAGCCATCTGATGGAAAATCTGAGGCTTCTGGAAAGTGCTAGACTAGATGACTTCCAAATTCCCTTCAGACCATATATTTCTGTGATGCAGCGGTGCATTCTGCTGCAAAGTTTTTGAAGTTGGTTTGATAGTTATGGCAGATTTTCTATAGCACTTCAAGTATCAAAGAATTATTTGCCGAGGAATTTGAATTTAGCATGGATGGCAGCTAGCAAGGAGACACTGTTTCTCACAAGTGTTATGTCTATCTTTCTTTCATACAGAGATCACAATCTTTTTTTTTTTTTTTTTGCAGGAATAGGAAGGGGATGCCACCAGCCCACAAGATGCATTTTCTTTTGGAGGATAAACACAGTGGTGGGATTCAACCAGTTCGCAACAGTTCGGCAGAACTGGTAGCTAATTTTTTGTTGCCCAGGCCTAGAATGGACTTCCGGAAGCAGCATCCACACAGAGAACCAGTTGTTCACATATTTGAATCCCACCACTGGATAAACATTTAAAGAACCTAACTCTTCCTTCCAATGATCAGTTAATGACAACAAAAAGTTAAGAGTTTTTCTGAATCTAGCTGTCCTCCCTGACTTCTGAAGCCTGAAAATCTCACATGCTATATCTGTATAATCCAAAGGTGCTTTGGATTCCAGATTTATGGAAAACATTGTTATACCAGATATGTAAATAAATAAATAAATTAGGCAGCCATGACAAACTTGCAAATCACAATGTTCTTGTAAATCATGATGTTCTGTGCAGGAAACAAAGCACATTTTCTGCATGAACACCTCTCTTGTTTCCATAAACTGTAAAAACTATGATTGAATTATATATTGTTACAGGCTTTTCTATAGGTAAATCACAGACTGAGGGGCCCTTGGCGCTCTCTGAGCTTGGTTGTTTTCTTGCAGATGATTCATTACCCAAACTAGGTAACATCATCAGTGCACTGATGATGTTACCTAGTTTGTATAATATGTCTGCAAGAAAACAGCCAACCTCATAGAGCGCCAAGGGCCGATCATTTCAACTTTGAGCTACAAATATTGTCCTCTATCAGAAATTATAAATTGCTAGAAGGAGTTCAGCATCATTAGAACACAAAAATTCTAGACTAAAATAATGGATGTGACAGACAAAAGGAGGAGAATATATCTGCAGTAAGTAAGCTGAGGAAATCAGTTTAAAAGAAAGCTTTACAGTGCAATTCTAGTCAGTTTACTTCTGACTGATATGAAGAGACTGTATGGATAGTCTTGAAGTTTTGGGGCTTCCGTTCATCTACTTCCAGCGTCATTGCAATCCTTATCATGTATCATATCAACTAGTTCTGAAAACTAGTGCCTTCACTTTCCATTTCAAACAAATCAAACTTTCCTGCTCAGCCAGAAGAAAGTAATTTAATTTATCGATGCTGAATACTTTGCCTTCAATATTGAGCAAGCTGAAATTTGGAAGCTTATATCTATAGCAAAAGAATATGCATGTGACTTCTGAAAATGGAACTGATGGGTTATTGACAAATGGCTACTTTAACAATTTATAGGCAATTGCCCAGAACTTGACATGAAAATACAGCTTCTGAGCAACTTTTCCAACCTATCACAACAGCCTGGCTGTTATAACTTAAAAACAACTTAAAAACAATTGTATACATATAAACATTGCTCTAGAACTACGGTATAAGGCTGCCATATTTTTCCTGGATTTTCACTTTGTAAGGGAAACTCATGGATTAATTTTAGTTTAGTAGAAATTTATTTTATAAATATTTTAAATGCTAATGATAGGCTTGCTGATACAGAGTGAGTAGTTTGAATGTGAAATATTACATTTGCCTACAAGAAATGCTTTTGTTATGTTAATCAGTCTGCTTCTCTTTCTCAAAATTTAAGAATTTAAAATTAAATTCACTTTATAATCAGAAATTCTACAGACTATCTTGTAAGCTTTAGAAATCTATGAGGATTTATGTTTATTTAATAAGTACTCAACTGACATTATTGTTATAGTTAGCTATTTTTTTAAAAAAAATAAATGAACAACACACAAAGTCATTTAGATGTTAGAAAAGTTAGTCTAAGAATATTTATCTGAAAAATGTTAAACTGGGAACAATTATTTCTGCATGAACAGTAAGGATAGACATCTTAAATAATAGAAGAACTCATCATATTTTTTAAAATAAAGCCCTTTTCTGCTAACACGGTATTCAACCATCAACTACCACCAAAATCATTAACTTTTAACTTTATTTTAAAATCTCTCAGTATCTTATCAGAAGGTTAAGTAAACCTCATATCACCATTCATTTGCATCACAATTGCTGACATCAAGAGGGTTTCCATGGTGTTCATCAGAATGATCCTGTCCTTCTGCAGGAGATCAGAGGTTGCTTAGTGAGTTATATGGGAAATGAGGAGGGACACGTGCGTGAATGCTCATCCTCCATTGTGGGCTGCCTGGAAAGGAAAAAAGGTGTGAATTGCCTCTAAATCCCTAGTGCAGTGGCTGGAGAATTCTTAAAGTTGCCGAGGTTGAGAAACACTACCCTAGTGGACTATGCCCCATTTCTTCACACAATAAATGTGAGCTTTAGACCTGCAGAAACGATTTTACACAGAGACAAACGTTTTTACTTCAATATGGCAGGTAACAAAGTTACATGCAACCTATTATTGTCTCATATTTTTTAAAAAAATTAAAATGTATTTTGTAGGGATTAAGGCATAATTTCATTTCCCCCCCCCCTCAGAAAATCAAAGTACATTAGTGTATGACCGGCAGAAGCTAATGGTTATAGTTGATTAGAACAATTCCCTTTACAATTTTGTTTTAGAGGTTCAAGTAACAACAGGTCATTTAAATATATCTGGGTTGGACATAGTATTAGAAATTCAGGTAGACAATCAGTATCTTAAACTGGGAATATGCTATTTATACAATAAAGGGTTTGTATGTACTTAAATTGTGGGACTGAGGGAAATCTGCACTTACTATCAAATCTTTTAAGAATTTTTTTCCATAATCAAACTTACTTTGTGTATACATTTTACTATATAGCAGAGAGAGGTAGAAATAACTTTTAAACTAAGAAATCGAGCATGCTTTTAAATATGAATATGTCCAAATAAATAGCAAGGCCGAAAAGACATTCATTGTCAGCAGTAACAAATCTAACATTTGTAAATAATACAGTATACAGAATATAGTTTAAAGAACATTTTATGTAAGTGTGCTTTTTTACTATAAATTTTTTTTATTTTTAAAAAAGTCTATTGTCCATAAATAAGAAAGTGCCAGTCAGCATCAGTCCTACTCTATTTTTCCCTTGGCTGTGATGCTGAACAGTAAAAGAGGCGTCAGTTCATATTGCTTATGGCAGACTTATTGGCTGCGGCTTTGCTGTGTTTGTAGATTAGGCAGTTTGAGATCTTTGCTGTTGAACTTTTAGCATAATGTGAATACCAATCCCTTTCAAACACAGCTTTAAGTTGTTTAATTATGCTGGTTTTGTTCCCCGTGTCTGCATGGTTGATGACAAGACCAGCTCCAGCATTCTGATTAAAATAGGTCCCAACCCAGTCAAAATTACCTATAAGGTAAATGAAAAGAAAATCAAAAATTATGTAACAATTGAAAAACATTTTTTTTCTTAATTAAACTTCAGGCTGAACACTTTTGATTGAATTTACTTTCTCCATGACAATCTCAGATTCATACTTAAATAGATTATGTCACATGCTAATTTTTTCAAATGTAACGCTTACTAATAAAACAAGATTGTATGTATGTATGTATGTATGTATGTATGTATGTATGAGCACCAGGGTAATAAAAACTGTAAAAGTTTTTAATAAATTAAAACTATAAAAGTTTTAAAAAAGCGCCAAGCTTTCGCCGTCACCTGCCGGCATCCTCAGGGCTGGCGCGCCAGAGAATGAGAAGGTCTTTTATAGGCGTGTCGAGATTTGCGCCCGGCTCCTTGATCTTGTTATCGGGCCTAATTGGTTCAGCCGTGTGTAATTAACCTGTACTTCTTTTCTCTTTTTGGTTGCATTTTTATCCTCATCCATCTCCAATTCTCCCAACTCCGGATTAGCTAGACGGCAATTCCGGTTATTCCGGTTGCCTTTATGTTCTGACCTCCCCTCAGGCTCAGGTGGTAATGCACATTCCACATTCCTTTCTCCACCACATCCTGTCCGGTTGTTACTTTTAGAATCGCATTCATTTCCGGTCTCAATACTTTCGTTTTTAATGTGTCCGTCATCCTGATGATCTCGTAAGTTGCTACGGGTCTGGTGCAGCGTGGGGGGGTATTCCGCAAGGTGGAGGGATCGTCCCTTATTCGTTGTCATGCCCAGCTGTCTTGCGCGCGTCCTACTCCGAGTATTCAGTCCAGGGGGTGTGTGCACAGCAATCAAGCCGCGTCCCTCCTGGTTGCAGCGCTCTTCCTCAGTTCTCCCCTTTTTTACGCTGTTCAAAGCATTCGCGTGTGTTCCATGGGAGTCTTCAGGATCGTCAGGTAGGGGGTATGACGGCTCAATCTCCCGCACCCTGCCGCTCTCCGATCTTCCCTCCTCCTCTATAACGGTGTGCGAGGGTTCATCGTCAACCGCCTCCCGTGGTTTGTCCTCATTGGAGCTGATCGTTCCGGCTGCATGAGGGGGTCTTCTCCTCCTTTCCGGACCAACCGTGATGTTTCTTTTGATGTGTAGGCAGGCCGTTGCGTTTAGCAATTCACCCACACTTCCACCTGCCGTATCTTCCCTCGTCTCCTCTTTGCTGCCAGGGGTCCGGACCTTGGTTCTTATCACCCCCCTAATCCTCTGGGATTGCAGCAGTCTCATGGGGGTGGTCGAGGTATCTTGCGATTGCTTTTCTTCCTCTGAATTGCACATGGTTTGTTGGGCAGTTCGGGTGCTGCCCAAGTTGTTGTTGGGCCATCGGGGGTGTTGCCGCTGATTATTGGCACTCCATGATCTTAAGGCCAAATAGGACGGACATAGGTCAATATGCCTGTTAATGGACCTATGTCCGTCCTATTTGGCCGTAAGATCATGGAGTGCCAATAATCAGCGGCAACACCCCCGATGGCCCAACAACAACTTGGGCAGCACCCGAACTGCCCAACAAACCATGTGCAATTCAGAGGAAGAAAAGCAATCGCGAGATACCTCGACCACCCCCATGAGACTGCTGCAATCCCAGAGGATTAGGGGGGTGATAAGAACCAAGGTCCGGACCCCTGGCAGCAAAGAGGAGACGAGGGAAGATACGGCAGGTGGAAGTGTGGGTGAATTGCTAAACGCAACGGCCTGCCTACACATCAAAAGAAACATCACGGTTGGTCCGGAAAGGAGGAGAAGACCCCCTCATGCAGCCGGAACGATCAGCTCCAATGAGGACAAACCACGGGAGGCGGTTGACGATGAACCCTCGCACACCGTTATAGAGGAGGAGGGAAGATCGGAGAGCGGCAGGGTGCGGGAGATTGAGCCGTCATACCCCCTACCTGACGATCCTGAAGACTCCCATGGAACACACGCGAATGCTTTGAACAGCGTAAAAAAGGGGAGAACTGAGGAAGAGCGCTGCAACCAGGAGGGACGCGGCTTGATTGCTGTGCACACACCCCCTGGACTGAGTACTCGGAGTAGGACGCGCGCAAGACAGCTGGGCATGACAACGAATAAGGGACGATCCCTCCACCTTGCGGAATACCCCCCCACGCTGCACCGGACCCGTAGCAACTTACGAGATCATCAGGATGACGGACACATTAAAAACGAAAGTATTGAGACCGGAAATGAATGCGATTCTAAAAGTAACAACCGGACAGGATATGGTGGAGAAAGGAATGTGGAATGTGCATTACCACCTGAGCCTGAGGGGAGGTCAGAACATAAAGGCAACCGGAATAACCGGAATTGCCGTCTAGCTAATCCAGAGTTGGGAGAATTGGAGATGGATGAGGATAAAAATGCAATCAAAAAGAGAAAAGAAGTACAGGTTAATTACACACGGCTGAACCAATTAGGCCCGATAACAAGATCAAGGAGCCGGGCGCAAATCTCGACACGCCTATAAAAGACCTTCTCATTCTCTGGCGCGCCAGCCCTGAGGATGCCGGCAGGTGACGGCGAAAGCTTGGCGCTTTTTTAAAACTTTTATAGTTTTAATTTATTAAAAGCTTTTACAGTTTTTATTACCCTGGTGCTCATTTTATATTTTCACCATATATATATATATATATATATATATATATATATATATATATATATATATATATATATATATATATATATGTTTTCTGAGGTTTTCGCGGGTGTTTGTATGTAGGTCTTTGGTTGTTCAGATTTTCTCCCATGTAAAATTGGAAGTGTCTTGGCGATGTTTTGACGAAGTCCCAATCGTCATCTTCAGGCTGGTGTTTTCAGCTTCTTGCTGAAAACACCAGCCTGAAGATGACGAATGTGACTGCGTCGAAACGTCGCCAAGACACTTCCAATTTTACGCGGGAGAAAACCCGAACAACCAAAGACCTATATACAAATACCCGCAAAAACCTCAGAAAACAAATATATATATATTATATAAATTAGGTTTTTATTGTTCAGATGCTTTATACTTAAATCAGTTATTCTAGATTCAAAGCTACAAACAGTATATAAATAATCAGACTCGAACTTGCTCATTCAATTCTTTACTTACCAATATAAGCAGCTCTATCAGTCACCACATATTTATTGCGATTTAGCTTGAGAAGAGAAGAGTTTTTTGGCTCCTTAATAAAGCATGCACCTTCTGATTCAAGATCAAAGAATTTCTGTATTAAATGAGAAAAACTCACTTAGAGATAGCTAGTCCCCATATTGCTGAAGGAACTTTAAATTTAAAAATGGCGATCTATCAAATTTGGAAAAGTGAAAATAAAATCTATAAAAATATTATAAAATAACCTAAATTTAAAGAGGTTTTGATTGTATTTTGCAAAATTTCCACATTAATAGAAAAGTTGCTTTTCAAAAGTTTGATACTTTATTGCTAGTTGTGATTATGTAAACAGTAGGTAATTCATAAAAACAGTAAGTAGCATGTCCTCAAACTGATACCCTAATTCCCCACTATTACTTTGATACAGCCTAAAATAAGAAACTGGAAGATTTTCAGTTATTTACCGTTTATTGTTATTATTAGTAAGGTTCTACATTTAGGCAAGAAAAACCAAATGCACAAGTATAGTATAGGTGGTATCTTGCTCAATAATAACTGTGAGAGGGATCTTGGAGTCCTAGTGGACAATCACTTAAATATGAGCTAGCAGTGTGCTGCAACTGCCAAAAAAGCCAATACAGTGCTAGGCTGCATTAACAGAGGGATAGAATCAAGATCACGTGAAGTATTAATACCACTTTACAATGCCTTGGTAAGACCACACTTGGAATACTGCATCCAGTTTTGGTCACCACGATGTAAAAAATATGTTGAGACTCTAAGAAAGAGTACAAAGAAGAGCAACAAAGATGATTAGGGGATTGGAGGCTAAAATATATAAGGAACGGCTGCTGGAATTGGGTATGTCTAGTTTAATGTAGAGAAGGACTACGGGTGACATGATAGTAGTATCCCAATATCTCAGGGGCTGCCACAAAGAAAAGGGAGTGAAGCTATTCTCCAAAGCACCTGAACGCAGGACAAGAAGCAACAGATGGAAACTAATCAAGGAGAGAAGCAATCTAGAATTAAGGAGAAACTTCCTGACAGTTAGAACAATTAATCAGTGGAACAACCTGCCTCCAGAAGCTGTGAATACTCCAACACTAGACGTTTTTAAGAAGAGACTGGACAGCCATTTATCTGTAATGGTATATGGTTTCTTGCCTGAGCAGGGGGTTGGATTAGATGACTTCCAAGGTCCCTTCCAACTATTATATTATTATTATTATTATTATTATTATTATTATTATTATTATTATTATTATTATTATTATTATGGATTAGAGAAGTAAGCAATTTCAACAAATATTTTTCCTAAATTACATTAAAAATCTAACCCAGTTTGTCTGAGACTGGACATAACTATAGTTTATAGTTTAAATTAATTTAAAAAGAATCAAAGCTTTCCTGTTTAAAATTAAAGAGAAAGCTGTACTGTACTCAAGGGGGGGAAATTACAATAGTTCTTTTTAGGACTTTGCTATAAGAGAAGAGGAATCATATTACTGAACAATACATTTGAACAACTCTTTGAATTTTAGGTGAAGAGAAAACAACATTCCGAGAAGTCTTCTCCACTCACATTATGAAGAAAATTATGAAAGATTCATAGAATCAAAGAATCAATATATACCAAAACCGCAACCATGCTTAACTGGCAAGAGGAGAACCAAACACAATTTGAGCAGAGAATGGGCAGTAAGAACGATAAGGAAACTTGAAATAATGACCCTAGCTTTCCATTATTAAGAGGAAAGAAGACCATGTTTTATTTTGCTGTGGATTTGCATTGGAATTCATATGACTGAGATTCAAAGTGATTGCTGAAGAAATGTACTAGAATATTGTTTTAGCTATGTAAACAAACAACAGGAGGAATACTTACAACTTTTAAACTACAGTTAGAAACGTCAGTGCAAATTGCTTTAAGAGATGAAATAAAGTTAAAAGTGAGGGGATTTGTTTCTTTGGAGAAACTTATAAGGAGTCGCACTTTAATATTACGCAGAATCAGTGCTTCTCTGATTTTTCCATCCAAAAAAGGCCAGTACCTATTAAAAAAAGCAAATAACCTATGTTATTCATTTTTTTAATGAAAAGCCAGGATTTGTGATGTAAAAACAAAAACAAAACTCTAACCAAGGAATTCTGAAGTACTATGACTCTCATACAATTTCGCACATTGAAATTCCTGAAAGCCAAGAAATAGGTAGCTCTTATCTTATGTAGGACTTTCATCAGGTCAAACTATATGGCTAGACCAGGGATCTTCAAATTTGGCCTTTTATGACTAGTGGACTTCAACTCCCAGAATTCCTCAGCCAGGCAGTAGAGTTAGGAAGGTAATAATGATCCAGGTCTGTAAGTATTGCGTTAGTTAAAATAGAAGTGTTATAGGATAACTTTCTGTGATCAGTGTGGCAATATGATATGGTATTTTTTATCTTTTTTCAGTCACAATTTTGAATAGTATTAGTCAACGGGTCAAGCCCAACAGCATCTTATCAAATTTATTAGGACTTTTAGAATTGAGGGTTGTGGTGTAGTTTCTTTCCTTTTTCCTGCATTGAAAAAAATAGAACTTCTCGTGGTTATACTGACTTGGGGATATGGGGGCAGGTTAGATTGTTTTTTTCCTTAGGATTTTATGTGTACATAAGAAAACAGTGATCCTGCTAGAAGTCACTTCTAATTGACAGGTTATATTAAGAAATCAAGTTATATATTTTCCCATTGAAAACATAATGTGTGATAACTAATCTGAATAAAGGATGTATTAAAAATAAACATGACGTTGGAAAATTAGGAAATAAACTACATTTTTGATAGTACACAATTTATTGCTTAACAAAATAATGAAATATACTAGCTATAAAACTGCAAAGAAAGAAAATGCATTTGCAGGATTAGTGGCTGAATTTCAGACATGCTCGACAAAATCTGCAAAATCTTTAAACCTATCTTTGCAGGTTTTCTTCCTTTCAGTTTTGGTGGGACTTACACCCTCCACAGTTTCCAGCCAACAAGTACCATAGGAATTCTGGAAACAGAGGTCCAAGTACTATTTGAATATATTGTTTATTTGTTAGATTTATATCTTGTATTTCCCCTAGGAATTCCAGGGAATACATAAGGAGATGTTCTTTCATTCTATTCTTGCAAAAAACTGTGAAATAGGTAGCTGGCCTAAAGTTATCCAGTGAATTTGAATGCTTGAGGGAAGGTTTGAAATTGGTTCTCCTCTATCTTAGTTCTAACATTTTAATTGCTCTACAACATAAGCTTCTGAATGTGCTAAACTGGAAAAGAGAGTTTTTACCAAATGCTGTTCTCAGAAAATATATTTATATTAATATAACAATACATAATGAATATTTCTGGTGTCTACTCACCTTGTCTCATTTATTATATTAACAATAGGCAGATAGTCCATAACAGCTATGTATATAAAGTGTTCAGCATTATCTACCACACTATAGATTGCATCAGTATCCAGAATTCTGTCTTTAGGGCATAGGAGCTTTGGAGAATTCTGTGGAGAGAAGTTTAAAAACATATTTAAAAATATAGTAGATATTTCAGTTTTTTGTGCAGAATTATAAAACCATTGTACTTATACCTGTAACAAGATGGCTTGTATAACTTTTAATATTTTGATAGTGTTTATCATGATGTCTTATCAATACATTTTTATGTTACAGTATATGCTATATATTTCTATTCTGAAAAGCAGAATATAATAGTTATCTCTGATTCTCTAATAAAGGTATTATTTGAATTCATAACTATTCTGTGTTAAAAAAAATAATGCAGAAGTTATTTAAATCATGCAGTTGCAAAATCCATCATTAGCGCTAATGGAGTCTTGAATATAATTAAAAATATATGTTTGCAACTACAAAATTTATAATTTTCTGTGGATAGATTGGGGATACTCCAGAGCAAATGCTGGAGGGGCTGGAGTAAAAAAAAAAGTGAAGAGAATTCCATTTGTGTGACCAGAAGGGTTCTTGTGTTATATATTTCATTTCTAATTCAAATCAAAAGATTCTAGGCAGTTCACATTAGAATAAAATAAAAATAAATAAAAACATTTTAAAAAATTTAAAAAAGACTTCAGCAATATCATTAGCCAAAAATATTTAATGGTATGGTATAAGGCAAAAAAGATAACTTTCTATTAATTATGCTTTATATATGGTGCAAAATTTATTATGTTGCAGCTCCCGCCCTCTGGAACATTCTCTCCAGAGATTCACCTAGCTCCCACCTGTATAACATTTAGGAAATTCCAGGCCTTGGGATAAGGCATTATGGAGCATTATAATTATACACATGAGTTTGCATAGAGAGAAATACTTTAAATTCATCCTTCCCTTTTAAAGAAGGGAAGAAATTTCAAATCAACAATGATCTTAGGTGTCAAATACTTCTATGGCTTTTGTCCTTGAGCAATGACGTAACTGAACAAGTGCTATCAGTGGAGGTAGAAACATTATGTATCGATGTTCATCAGGGCAGCTTTCAGAATCTCAGTACATTCCTAGATATGTGTCGGACCCGAGTTAAAAATTTGGAAGGATTCACTTGTGCCTTGGCTAAGCTGAAATAGAATCTTTCCTTTCAACTGCTTGCTATCTTCAATAAATTTATGGGAATTTTCTATTTATTCCCTTTGTTATTGAGCTAACGGTATCACACAATAGTATCCACATCTTCTCCTTCTTCTGTATGGCCAATATTAGGATTATAAGATAAAATACTATTGAGAAAATTACACTGCTAGGCTGCAGCCAAGAAAGATTGTTTTGCAAAAGAAGGATTTAGCGGTTGTTTTTATTTTGACTAAAATACGATTGATTAGTGACTTGAATAGCCTGATCAATGTAACAGTACCTTGGCTTCTAAATCTTCTAATTTAACTATCTATTGCTGTAAGGAAAGAAATGTTTTAAAGGCAAGGAAAGAGGAAGGAGCAGGAGAAAGATGTATTATTCAATTATCATTACAAATACAATTATCAGTAACAGCTGTGTTTGATTTGGTTAATGTCTTTTTTGCTAGAACAAAGATCACAATTTTCTTCCTCTTGTCATGGGCCCAAAAGATTTCGTAGGAGGGCTGCTGGATTACCACAAGACAGTTCCTAACATTGCTTTACTAATAAGACTTATCTTAGGCACATCTTCTTCATTAAATTCATTTTTATTCCTTATTTCTGCCAGATTTTTTTCTGAGCGAAAGGAAATCACTGAAGAGTAGATTCTGAGGACATCCCATGTCATGTACCAACAAACTTCTTTCTCACACATAAAGACGCAAGTCTTAACTACAGGAATTTGTTGTTTGCTGCTAACCATGTTTTCATCTTAATGTCATCTAAGAGGGAGATATGTAGTTAAGAAGTTTGATACATAAATAAAATTTATTGCAGTATTGGATTTGCAGATATTGAGTATGTTAGGGATATGATTTTCTGGGGAAGCAACTCAAGTAGCAGCTTAAACTTATCTAAAAACAAGAACAAAAATACTCACTGAGACAAAGACTTCTGACTTGGTTTCATTCAACTTAAGAGGCAGTTTATTTTTAGTGCCATACACGGCATACAGTCTTTTAGACCAAGTGGGTGGAACTTTGCTCTTGGATTTCAAGGAGCAGTACAAGGCAAATATCCTTTGTAAATCTAAAACCAGGCAACTGCAGTTGTATAAGATGGTACCAAGCTCCTTCATCTGTGAAATCAAGTATGTATTACTAGGTACATTGTCTATTATAAGAGCTCCAATTGACAGGTTGATGCAATTATTAGATGTTCTTTTGCTGCAAATGTTGATATATATATATATATATATATATATATATATATATATATATATATATATATATATATATGTATATATATATATCAGCACATGCCTATTCTATATTTTAATTTAAATTGTTGCATAATAAGCATAGATACAGTGAATACACAATATAAATATTAAATGATTGCACAACACTTTTCCATTACAATTACTTGAAAATTATTCATTTACAAAAATTTTCTTGGTTCACATCTGCAAGTCAACATAGTATACTATGTTTCTAGCATCAACTTCATTCATTCTGTATCAAACATGATGCCCTGCACATACTGCACATGTGTTCCATTAACTCCTATAAATCTCAGGTAGCATGTCAAACCTACAAGAAAGGCTTCTCTTAGTGCCAGAGGAAAAACAATGCATGATAGTCCTAAAGCTTAGATTCTGATCCCTCCAGGCGGGACAAGATGATTGGGAAAGAGCTAAGCAAAATATGAGTACAATGCATCATCTCAAGGGTGCTTTGAAGTTTGAAATTATGCACTACTGCTTTCAATATTAAATAAATATGCAAAAATGACTACAATTTATGCCTCCAGAAGCTGAATATATTAATTAGGCTAATTTTAATTCACATATTGAATTATATCTGATAACTATTATTTTTTACAACTATGAAAAAGTAGCTAAATTTCATAACATATGGAAGTATTTGTCGTATCTTATGCAGGCTCTTTAGAAACATGAGCTTATCCCTCTTATGAAACAACAGCAGTAATCTGTTCTTTTAGAGTCAAAACTATATTTTTACTGTTCATCTATAGCAGGGGTGGGCAATTAATTTTCCCAAGGGGCCACATGAAAAACTGGAACTATTGTGGAGGACTGCTGATATAGACACCTCACCCCTGCCGCCAAGACCATGCCAATGCTGCCCCACCCTCCCCACTGCTGATGATGCTCCAGACCTCAACACCACGGATACCGGACACTGCAAGTTGGACTGGATGGCCTGCAGGCCAGCTGTGGCCTGCGGACCATGAAATGCCCAGGTCCGACCTATAGGAAACAATGAGAACTGCCCCTTGTTTCTTTTGGTAACAGGGCTACAAAAACAAGTGAGTAGCAAACCATGCAAAAAAGAATTTTTTTATAGCCTTGCTAAAGAGTAGAAGCCAGCAACAAAATCAAAAGTAATGGACTCAATGAAGTGCATAGATGTAAGATAAATGAAAATACATTGGATTAAACATGCACAGCTCACTTTTTGAAATTTTTAAAAGCCAAAGCTCATTTTTGCATTTGACAATTTGTCTGAGAAATAAAACACAGCACAAAGTACACACAGAAACAAAACCATGGCTAAATTGATTAGCTACCAGAATATCAGAGTTCAATTCGTGATTTCCTGTCTAGTTTGCTAAATATCTGAATGGCAGATCAAGAATACAGAGAATATAAACCGTTATTAGTCAACTAGAGAAGATGAAATCCAAGTCTCCTCTTCTGAAAGCTCAGAATCTGATCTAATCTGATTTAATTGTAAACTAAATTTCTGTTGTAGCTCTATTCCCTGAGATACAGTGAGATACAATCACTAACCATGTTTGTCTTTATGGGAGCCTGACAGAGGTAGTGATTTCATCTGAAAGTCATTTAATCAAATCATTCCACCAAAGCAGATATGTGAAGCTGCTCAGCATGATGGGACATTTTTATATAGCCATCTAGAATGGCTGTAGATTTTACTAACTTTTCTGGTCCTTCAGTGATCTCCCGCATTGCAGCCATTTGAATTACTACCGCCTTAATAGTTAGAACTTGTTGCCTCTGATGCTTTGCTGTAGGCAAGGATAGATCATCTTGCCTTTCACAGAGATGTGCTGAAGAGAAGCCTGCCTAACTTGCACAAGCCTAATACATTCCCCATGTGATTGAGAAGATGTGGGAAAACATGGTGCTTTTGCCCACAGAAACAACTCATAGTATTTCAGACTTGCCTGGTGATTTGTGGTGCAAAAAGGAAAAACAGTAGTGCAATAGGTCAGGATTCCGTTGCACTGAGTTTCTGTCTCTCTTTGTCTCCGGTGTCATTTGGACCTGCAACTGAGTTGCTTCGAACAATCAATTACTTAGGAAATTGATGTTGGGGGAAAATGTCATCCAATCTGTTGCATTTTATAGTAATGTAAAAGTGAGTATCTGCTAAAGGTCATGTAGACCTAGAGTGACATAAACATTAGGCTGGATCACCTAGAAAATGACATTGTCAATTGTTGACCACAAACCTATAGACCTGCTGCACTGCCCTCTAAAGTAATTATTCTGCATAGAGATTACTAATTGTAGAAGGGTTCTTTAAAGTAATTTCCCACCAGCAGTATGAAGAAAAAATAGAATAGAGATGCTTTGTATTCAATTTATATGCCTCTTGAGGATCTAACTTCTGAAGGTGTTATACATGAGAGAATAATGTACAGATTGGCACACGAGTAATTGAAACTGAGGCTACTAACGCTAGTAGTACTTGTAGAGTTGTCATACTATAGCCTATCATATCATACTATTTTATCTAACAGATATTTTATAAGATTCTGTTAAGAACAGCACAATTTACGGAGTTAAGTCATGAAATAATTAACCATAACATAAATGATCTACATATACAAAAGCCAATGGCTATTTCTTCCATAAGAAAGTTAATTATGGTTTTTTAAGAATTTATAATACCTGCCCCAATGAACTCCAATCTAAACTGGCACTTCCAATGTACACATGTTGCTTATCCACAATCCAGAATGATGACTGCAAATGACCATCATTATAAGCCGTTAAATTTACATATATCACTTCTGCACCTAAACAAAATAAAAATACAACAATCAGAACACATAATTAAATCATCCTCTCTTAAAGATAATAATAACAACAATAATAATAGTAATAGTAATGATAATAATCTTAAAGTCTTGAGCCAGTGAGACATAGTTCAAAATATCTGAGGCTGAAGTTGTAGTCCCAGCAATGTTTTAAAAATAGACTTGATAGAAGTTATAGAATTATAATTACCCATCTGCAGACATTCACAGATTAAAATGTGTCTAGAAAATGTTTCTCAATTCATTGTATTCATTTTGATTATGAAGATGGCCTTGCGTTAGTATTTAAATATTGACTGACACATGGGAGAAAATTATGTTAGGGTAAACAGAGCACTTTGAATTCTTGTAAATGAAGCTTTTCTCACACAATAGTCTTGTCACATTTTTTGAATTTACAAAAGCTAGCATCTTTCAACTTCTAACCCTTTTTTCCTCTGTTTTGTCTTACCACAAAAAAAAACCTGCCCATGAAGAAAAAGATGGAATAATTGCCCAATATCTTGATCTACAAAGCTAGGGCCCCACTGATCCAAAAGAACAGTATATCATATAATTGCTATACTACACTATACTAGTGCACACTAAGCAGAGTGTGCACACTAAGAAGACACTGATAAAAAGTAGCTAAATGGAAAAAAGTTATTACATTCCATACCAAGAAAGAATGAAAAAATAATTATAGCAAAGGTTTTAGAATGTAGCACAAGATAGATTATATTTTTAGAAGCCTGGTATAGTGCAAATAATTTATGTTCTCTTCAAAATGAATGAAATGAATGAAAACCCATAGTGGTTTTGTTTTTGGTTATACATTAAAAGGAAAAGACCTCTAGCTTTTCAATGAGAATTTTAACTCAAAAATAAGTATTCCTAATATGCAATTATTTTTTAAATGCTACAATGCATATAAAATAAGCAACTGCACAAAACACTCCCAGTGTCAACTATATTGGAACTTTTAATATATTTACTAATAGAAGAAAGCATTGTTTAAATTATGGAATGATGGAATGTTATCTGCCAGGAAATACAATTGTTCCTGAAATCCCTCTAAAGGAGAGAGGCATGTCTGCCAGGTCAAGATGGAGTAATTGCAGCTTGATGGCCATGAACAATCCAGCAGAAGTCAAGTGCAGCATTTATGTCACTCCCATTTCTGTCACGATCTACTCATAACAAATGTTCAGGGTGTCATCTCTTTTTTCCCTTATCCAACTGCTTCCTCTAGGCTGACACACTTAGAGTGCTACTAGAAGACGATGAAGAGTGACTAAACACTGCCTTTATTATCAATGATAATATTAGAATTAGAGCAGCAAAATGTAGTTATTTTCCTGCTCTTGTTGCATCCATGACTTGCTGTCTGGGAGCCTCATTTAGGGTAATCCAATCCCAGGGAAAGAAAGAACTAAAAGCTCTAGGGAGATGACCTGGGGTTGAGCACCGAGGCTTTAATTGATTCAGACAGATCTTCCACGTGAAAGAAAGCCAGCAGAGCAGCTATAAGATGCTAAAGGAAACTGACTGGTTATTTTGGCCAGCAGTGAGTGCAATTGACAGAAGAATTGTAACTGTGCTATTTCGGCTTGCAGATACATAGCTTCCAAAAAGAAAATGCTAAGAAGCTCAGCTGTAAAGAAGCTGCTGCAGTCCAGCCAAAGTAGCCCAGTTATCTGATGATTAGTGGTAATGCCATGTGGTGGCAAGGACAGAAGTTACCCTTGATCCAGTGGTGACATTAATCTGAAAAGGTTTGTGTGCAGGTGGAGGAGGAACCTAACTTCCCACATAGTCCCAACCTCTTCTCCAACTTAGTGATGAGAAGCAGAGGCTATCTACAAAGGACAGGACTTGGGAGGCTTGGAAAAACTAGAGAAAAAAAACTAGTTATTGCACTGCAATGGCAAGCATCTATATAATTTATCTCAAAACTTGGGACAGAAAACGCTTAAATGATCGCAAGAAAAAGAGGGGAAAAATCAGAAAATCACATACTGTCACTTTTCTCTGCTGAGGAAAGCATTCAAGAGTAAAGCAACTGGCTGAGGAGATAACAAGATACTATTTTAGTAAAACAGCCAGAAGTACAGGCTAGAAAGATGCAACGGGGGGGGAGGGGTGTCAGAGCTTCAACACTGTACTGAAATACATGTATGTATGTATGTATGTATGTATGTATGTATGTATTTATATGATTTATACAGCACCTTTTCTCACAGCAGTGACTTCAATAAAAGCACATGCAAGCAGAAATAATTCAATATGTTACTTCAGACTTGCATCATCCAAAAAAGTACTCACAAAACAGCCAGATAATTATTTCCCCTTCAGATATCCAAAGTATCTTTCTTTTTTCATTTCTTTGTTGATCATGACTCTATATTCCATACTGGAATCTTCTGTGCCAGGATTGTCCCCAAAGAGACCCACAAATATTGACTCTTCCCAGTCAATAATAACCTTTCTTAGTAAGATAAAGAATTCCTAGACTGGTTACTATCCATGCCATCTGCAGCATTTCCTGTTGCGTACTGTATGCCAATCTGTGCTAACTAAGATCTCTAAAGAACATCAACAAGCAAGCCAAAAAATAATTGCCTATTTCCTGCCCACTACAAGGTACATACAATGTACTAACATATACTTGGGATTGTTTTAATTCTAGAGATTAAGAATATAGGTTGATGCTGCTGAGATATGCTGTAAATGTGATTTCCAGAAAACTGACAAAGTATGATGGTGAAACAGTTTTGTTTGTGCAACTAATTAATAAATGTACCTTTTGACAGGCCGATAGATCTTATGGTGTTCATTTTGAAATATTAAAAAGGATTAAGGTTTAGTAGATTATTTCTTTATTTTGGCTCAACTGGCGGCTGAAATAAAATAGGGCTGGATACCATAGACAGCTCACACCTGGCCTTAGTTGTAATAAAAAGAACATTTAAAAATTAAATCAGAATGAAAACCTTGTGAGATGCAGAAGTATTACTTTCTTTTTAATGTATTATTTTAGAAGGAAGAAAAAATTCAATAGAGACAAATAATTCAATGCAGTAAAGTTTGTATACTTTGTATAACTTGATCCCAAATTATATTTAATTGGTAGTTTTGTATCATTAATTTCAAAGAAACTTCCTAAAAAAGACAGTGAGATGTCTTACCTATAAATGACATTTCTCAGAGAAAAAGAATTCATTCTTTTTTAACTGTCTTTAGGAGACAAATTATTTTTAAAAGAGATTAACTGCATTCAGAAGAGCCTCTTTATACTGGATATGTTCCAGTGGCTCAGAGGCAAAAGATCATATCTCCAGACATTTCAAGCTACCCTTTTAGCATTTTTGTCAAAGGCCTGGAGATGTTCCAGAGACTCCATTAATGCAAAATCTTTGCACTCAAATAGGTTAAGTATAAAAATAGAAAATGCTCTTATTAACAACTCTAACATCCAATTTTTAAACTGAAAATTATTTTTATGTTATCCAAGACTATGATACTTAAAATAGTTTAATTTCTAGTAAGAGTTACATTCTATTTAAAAAAAATCAGACTGTTTCCTTCCTTGTCTGTCTCTCGTCACTGCTTTCTCATTTAGTAATATCTAAATAATTCTTTCTCCCTCTAACTTTTTTTTCTTTTCTGCACACACACAAACACAAAATGCCACATTTTCAGAACTGAACCGAACCTTGAAGGTCTTCTAGTCCAACCTCTTGCTCAGGCAGGAAATTCTATACCATTTCAGATTTGCCTTCAGTATCTTTATTGTTTAACACAATCACTGTTCTTTTCTTTTTGAAATATAATGCGTATGCTTCAGGAGGTCACTCTTTATAATAACATATATATTATTACAAAGTACACATTCAGTATTTTTTCTCTTTTTCATTGATTCTGTTTGTTGTCCAATGGCCAAGTCAAATAGATGTAATTACTTAACCCAACACAGAAATACAACTCCAGAGTTTTCTCTTTTGTACTATTTCATATATTCTTATATGTAAATGCCATTTGTGTGTGTGTGTGTGTGTGTGTGTATAAACATATGGTTGTTGCTGTTTTTTTCAGCATTTATATAACTTAGTTGCAAAGTTCCCTTGTTTTGCAATGGACTCACCTTAACTAGTCCTCATCCAATTTAACATTAAACTGAGAAATAAGCCTTCTTAAGAGATTATAATTCTATAAAGTCAATATGGAAGCTGCATTCATGCCATTTCTCCTCTTCCCAAATGTCAGTATATAGTAGTGTTAATACTTAAAGAAAAGAGGCCTTCACCTGATAAACTGAACATGCTAAAGCTCCAATATAATCTGGGATTTTATTAATGCAAGAATCCTGTTTTCATGAAGCTCTCCCAGTGTAAAATTCTGCACAGGAAGTTTTATTATATATAGATTTTCTGTATAACACTCAAGATCCTGGATGCCCTCATTTAATTATTTAATGTACTGTATCTATTCATGTACAGGATAGAACCTCACTGAACTGAGAGACTTCTACCATTAAACTTCTAGAACTGACAGACATACTGAAAGGTTCAGAAGTATAAACAGATTTATAGCTTTGTTGTCCCAGCAAGGAAAGGCTTTTGGGGGGGACTCATTTCACAATAGTGTTTACTTTCTGGGACTGCTTCAATTTTCAAGAGCAATTACTACTTCCTGCCTTAATTGATTATCTCTTCATAATAATTGCTATTAGGGATGGTATAAAGTTAGCACATAAATTATTAGGTTCCATGGTTGAAGAAAGAATTCCAATCATTTGGTTTTATTTAATTGCTGCATAGTGAAATACAATTTTCTTAAAATGGATTCTGTATTTCTCCTCAACTATTCGTATAGGTTAATTTACATTGTTCATATATTTGAGTATTAGCAAGTTACATTTTCTAATATTAACCTACTTTCCAGCACCATAGTACAGTATATCTCTGCAATCATAGGAAAATTAATGTTTTCTATATTCT